CTTTGTGGATATGAATATCTTGCTGTGTAACTACATTAAGGCTTGTAGAAACAATCATGTTCTGTCCTGGTGGTCTAGATGCCTGTAATATTTTGTGTCATAAAATATTAGATTATTCAAATTGTTATTAAATAGGTAGAGTGAATTGTTTAGTGCACCTTGAAATGTGGGTTTTTCTCCTCTCAAATCTTTCCCTGTCTGTGTATCAGACTTTCATCTTGCTTTGTCTGAACTCTCATTGTTTCATTCATTGTTCTGTTGCCATCTCAGCTCCCGCCACATTTTGCATCCGCAGAGTTGATTTTTATGCTGGTAAGACGTTGTCTGTGTGTAGGCGTGTTTTTCTATTAGTTTATATGCCCTTTAAGGACTTTCTTTAGCATTTTGACCAGCCTTCTGAAGAAGGACGGTCTTATGGGGAAACTTTAGGTTTAGGGTTAGGAGATAGGTGTGATTTAAATGTTTGGGTCAGCAATATAATAGTAATAGTTAGGGAAGTTCTTGCTGTTAGGCATAAATGCTATTACTACAATTTAAGGTTAAATCTTTGCTTTTTTATGAAGCTTAAATATTTCAGATAATCCCAACATATCAGTCAGATCCAGACTTTTCCTTCAGGGGTTCTTCTAGAGAGCAGCATGCAAAACAGGCCTTTAATTGAATAATATGAAAAAATAGATTTAATTAACCACCAATATACTTAGCAACATTGTTTTTCTCTGCAGTTTCAAAAGCAAGCTGCTGTTTTTCTATCTTCTTGGTGATGAAACACCAAAAATTCATTTTAATTAAATCTACAAGTCTTGAATTTCTTAAATGAGTCTTGGATTTTTTTTGGAAAATTTTCTCTGTTCAATGTGTATATATATATTTTTTTCACAGAGCATGAGAAGCATAAGCTGTGTAAATCTGCTGACTACATGAACCTACACTTTAAAGTCAAATGGCTTTACAACGAATACGTGAAGGAGCTGCCCGCGTTCACAGATGCTGTGCCTGAATACCCTGCGTAAGACAATCATCCTTCTTTCCCTCATTTGTTTCTTTCAAATAGAACCTCCACCCCACGGATTTTTGATCAATACTTTAATGTTCCTGTGATGTGCTGTATATTGAGCCACAGAGTTATGCATCTGTTAGCTCTTTTGCCTTGTTGGAAGATGATCCTGCGTTTGACTTGATCTTAGTTGTGGGCATGAATGTCTTTGCTTTCTGTGTATGTTAGTCAGTGGTGGTTAAAAGCCCATCCCAAAGGAACAAAAGGACAGATTGGGTATTTCACATTAATCAGTGGACCAATAGGTAACTGTTGTGTTTGAGAATTTCCTTTTTAACTTAAAAAAGCTTCTGTTTGGAGGAAAATATTTTAATAAAATAATGATTTGTTTCTTAGATTTGATCATACATTTCCTGTTGAATTGCAGGTTTTAAAAAGATCATTGTCACCCCAATTTAAAACAAGGCAGCTTACTATAATTTATCCCTTTTAATTAATATCTTCTACACCTCTATTAAAATCCTTATTAAAAGCTAAAACAAAAACCATGGGAACAGCTACGAAATGCCTTGAGCCAGTTATCTTGATACTAACACCCACCAGACTGGATGAAGAATATGGCATCAAGGGATTTAGCCAGGAGCTGCTGTTTGGTGTAGCGGCAAAGAAGAACAGAAATGGAGGCTATTTGTTCTTCAAGGTAGCTGTCCCAGGTTTCCACTTTCAATCACTTCCTCTCATGGATTCTCCACCCTTCTCTAATGCTACTTGCAGAGTTGTCAGGCCTGCAGTCCGTACCATATATTAATCAATATTATGTACAGTGAGAGCTACTGGGAGCCAATCCAACTGAAAAAGATAATTTGCATGAGGAGCCTGAATGCATCTCACATTAAATATGATATAGGTGTAATACACTCTATGAAAGCAATGTTCTAATGTTGCAGTGAGGTTTGTTATTTGATATACACTCACCAGCCACTTTATTAGGTACCCCATGCTAGTAACGGGTTGGACCCCCTTTTGCCTTCAGAACTGCCTCAATTCTTCGTGGCATAGATTCAACAAGGTGCTGGAAGCATTCCTCAGGGAGTTTGGTCCATATTGACATGATGGCATCACACAGTTGCCGCAGATTTGTCGGCTGCACATCCATGATGCGAATCTCCCGTTCCACCACATCCCAAAGATGCTCTATTGGATTGAGATCTGGTGACTGTGGAGGCCATTTGAGTACAGTGAACTCATTGTCATGTTCAAGAAACCAGTCTGAGATGATTCCAGCTTTATGACATGGCGCATTATCCTGCTGAAAGTAGCCATCAGAAGTTGGGTACATTGTGGTCATAAAGGGATGGACATGGTCAGCAACAATACTCAGGTAGGCTGTGGCATTGCAACAATGCTCAATTGGTACCAAGGGGCCCAAAGAGTGCCAAGAAAATATTCCCCACACCATGACACCACCACCACCAGCCTGAACCGTTGATACAAGGCAGGATGGATCCATGTTTTCATGTTGTAGACGCCAAATTCTGACCCTACCATCCGAATGTCGCAGCAGAAATCGAGACTCATCAGACCAGGCAACGTTTTTCCAATCTTCTATTGTCCAATTTCGATGAGCTTGTGCAAATTGTAGCCTCAGTTTCCTGTTCTTAGCTGAAAGGAGTGGCACCCGGTCTGGTCTTCTGCTGCTGTAGCCCATCTGCCTCAAAGTTCGACGTACTGTGCGTTCAGAGATGCTCTTCTGCCCACCTTGGTTGTAACGGGTGGTTATTTAAGTCACTGTTGCCCTTCTATCAGCTCGAACCAGTCTGGCCATTCTCCTCTGACCTCTGGCATCAACAAGGCATTTCCGCCCACAGAACTGCCGCTCACTGGATGTTTTTTCTTTTTCGGACCATTCTCTGTAAACCCTAGAGATGGTTGTGAGTGAAAATCCCAGTAGATCAGCAGTTTCTGAAATACTCAGACCAGCCCTTCTGGCACCAACAATCATGCCACGTTCAAAGTCACTCAAATCACCTTTGTTCCCCATACTGATGCTCGGTTTGAACTGCAGGAGATTGTCTTGACCATGTCTACATGCCTAAATGCACTGAGTTGCCGCCATGTGATTGGCTGCTTAGAAATTAAGTGTTAACGAGCAGTTGGACAGGTGTACCTAATAAAGTGGCCGGTGAGTGTAGGATGCAGCTCTAGCTAAAACTGTTGGTAGAGATCCAAAAACCTGGCATTAGAGAAGCTGTACTGGTTGATTATGCAAATATTAGACAATAAAACAACATTAAAACAGCAAGAACTGCTGTATTTCTGGGTAACGTGCATGTGTGCTGTTATCCTGAGGGTTCTATGCAAGGACTAACTCATGTAGTATTAGATATTTAATTGTCCAGGGGATTGTAAGGTGTAACTGCTCCTAGTGAGCTCCTTAGAGTCACAAACACCAGCAGTAAAAACCTCTTAAGTCAAACTGTAGCGGCATCATGATTTTCCTCAAATGGAGGAAGCTTTTTCCAATTTACTGTGATCCACCTTCCTACAAAAGTTTGGGAAGATCCTCCAGAATATCCCTAACAACAAATGTGGTGTTTCGTTCTTTCTGACATCGTCCTTGTTGTTGCAGGTGGTTCCTCCAGTTTGTTCTGGCCTGGCTGGCTGAGAACGAGGAGGTGTCGATGGACTTCATGTCCGGAGCTCTGGAGAGAGACAAGAGGGAAGGGGTGAGTTTTTATGTGACCACAAACAAGAAGAACTCCGCTCTAATTTAACAAGAACTACTAAAAAAAAGCTCAACACTGTAAAGTTTAAATGCTCAAATTATCTCAAAACCTGTTTGTTAAAAAAAAAAGCTAATTTTTCTTTATTCCCTGAAAACATCCTGTATCCTCAAACAGCAATTATCCAAAGGAATAAAGGAAAACTAAACTCAGCAGCAGCAGAACAGAAGCTTTTTTACAACAGGGTGATTTACAGCCACTGTTTCATGACCTGGAGTTCACACAGTCTCTCCTGGATCGGTTTTATTGATTCTGGTTCAGCCGGCTCTTCTTTTGGCCAATTTTACAGAATGATGGACAGGTGTTGTCTGTTGAACTCCTTCTGCTCCCAAAGCTGCACTTTATTTTTAGTAAATCAGGATGACCTTTCTTCTGTTTGCATTGTGAAGCTCTGCTGGAGTTCAATCTGACCAAACAGGCCTAATGCTAAACCTTTCAGGTTTGGATCACGTCATGCCCTCCCGAAAAGGAAAATGCTTAATTCCAGTTAAGCTGTTCATTTATTCTGTCCATTATCTTTTTTGACCTAAAGTGGGTTCTTTGCTGCCATCATTATCATTAACCTGTTGTCCTACCCACACTGTGTGTCCACATCCACTGACACCCATGTGCTTTCAGTGTTGTCTGAGTTTTCTGCAGGAAGCAGTTTGATTCTATTAAGAAGGAGATGGACCTAAGACTTGCTGGTCATCTACTAAATCATTTTACCCTGAGGCTAAAACTCTTATAATGACCTTCCTGTTTTTCAAACAAACAGCCTTTTTTTTAGCTGCTGTGTTCTTAGCATTACTTTCTGTCATCTGATACCATTTTTTTATGCAAAATGTTGGATAGTTAATCATTAAAGGAAGCAAAAGAAATAATTTTGAGTATTCCCTTTTAAAGAGTTTTTTCCACTAATTAGACTGTTCATGCTCTTTCACAGCTTAATCTGTACTGATAATATGACTGGCAATAATAATAATAAAAATATCAATGATTTAACTTTATTTATCTCACATTCGAGAAATTTATCTCTGCGTTTAACCCATCCCCTTGGGGAGCAGAGGGCTGCCTGGGGAGCAGTGTGGGGTTAAGGGTTCTGCTCAGAGACCCAGATTAGGGTGGCCTACTGGTTGCTTTTTTTTTCTGTTGTCAAAATGCAGTAATAATAATTTTTTTTCACGATAAAAGCATAGAAAATGCAAGCTTCTTTGTATATAAATAAACTCAAAAGTAGTCTTCAGTGAGCAATATCTTTAGTCCTGATTTGCAGAGGGTAACACTCTCAGCTCATCAAGTTTCTGGGTGGTTGGTTTAAAAACCGATAGAAACTAAAACGGCATAGAAACTAAATCCTACCTCTTTTTTCATTCTTGTTTTTGGAACACCAGTTAACATGTCCCTGATAAACTTGGTAGTCTGAATGATAAAAAAAAAAAAAAAAAAATCAGAACTAGTAACTTTTAAATAAATCTAAGCCAAAGACCTCACCCTGTCTTATAGACCATTGACAAGGTTTTCAAATTCTATAAACAGTCAATCAATTCTGGGGGATTTAAGGGTGGTCAGATATGAACCAGGATAATTGATGACCTTTTTGAGACCTTTATAGACAAAAATACAGTAATCTAACTACTGATTTCTTACTTTGAAATTTGTAAGACAAAGAAATTACTTTTAATCTCACATCTGATGAAATTCTGAAAAATAAAAATATTTTAAAACACTATAGAAAACTAGTTCAGTTGGTGACAGAAATAAGATAAGTGTTTGACAAGATCATGTATAATAAGGGATCAGTACTCCATACGTTTAGATAAATGCATCATTTAGATGCATTTAAATGAAAGTAGAATGAGAAATTAGCCCTAAGGTACCCCACATGTGATCTTTGTTTGCTCTGATTTAAATTACTGAATGTCACAGACTACTCCAGGTCTCATGGATTTTTTTTTTTTTTTTTTTTTTTTTTATTAAAGTTCTTTAAAACAAATAGATGTCACCTAATTACTGAATTTTGTTTAGCAAAAGGCAAAAATTATATAATTACCCAAAACTTTACCTCTCCACATAGTTGCTTTAAATAGTACGAATAAAACGTTTTTTATGTAATAGAAATTAACATGGTGACATTTCATTATTATTTATCTTCATATTGGTGATCTTTTTACTCTTTGAGAAGCATGTTTAAGCAATTATTTTAACAAAAAGAACCAGCAGCAGAAGCCAGAAACCTGACACTCCATTTGTTTGGGTATAATTAGCCTTTTAGTTTGAGCTTCCCATCTAATGACTTCCTGTATAGCTACACCCAATACTGTAAGTGGAACTGTGCACTAACGATTATCTTTCAGGGGAGTAAATATGGAGCAGGCGTTTGTGTGAATGAAGTGTGGGTACTGAAGTTACAGAAAAGTGTTGTTTCCCGCTCCTACCTGCAGTTCCAGCAGACGTCTGAGCACGTTCTGTTCTCCAGTTCGGTGGTGGACATCTTCACTCAGCTTAACCAGAGCTTTGAGATCATCAAGAAACTGGACTGTCCTGATCCAGCTGTGGTGGCCCAATATAACAGACGCTTTGCTAAGGTGAGCTTTGCACCTGTGTAACACTACAGCTGCTTTCCACTATTGGGTTCCCAATTTCTTAGATTTCCAGTCTACGGTGAACCGAAATATTATGTAACAAGAAATTTATCTTCTCACTCTGCTTCTGCTAAATGCTTTCGTATTTGTCTTTGCTTCCTCATCATAGTCTAGATGGAACAAACCGTCCTCAAATTTAGATGTAGTCAGCTTCGCCAATATCGATGCTGATACTTTTTTAAGCTTGATATATCATGAAACTGTTGACCTACTGGTGTATTTGTGATTTTTACTTTAATAAAACATTAGGAAAACAAATTTTCAAAGCTATTTTGAAATCTTGAGGCAATAAAAAATTCAAAAACTACTGTAAGGGTGACCAGACGTCCTCTTTTTCCCGGACAAGTCCTACTTTTCATTCCTAAAAAATGTCCGGGGGGAATTTCAAAATCGTCCGGTATTTTTGTAAACCT